GGCTAAAACTTTTAAATATTACTCTTTCTGTGGCGCAAAATAAACGTTTAAGTTATTTTGAAGTGAGAATGTAGCTGTGTAAGCTTCAAATATCCGCTCGATTTATCAAGATATCACATATTTCCAAACGTGCTCCAACGTTTTCCGAGACATCGGTTACTCCATAGCAGACCGAGAGGTCGGCACATCGTTTTCAACCCTCCCGTGGTCTTTCACTACTCAGGTTAAACATGATATATAAGTCTCTTAGGTAACTTCGAAATGTTAATGTTTGGTTTATTTGTTCCTGAGTAAATCGTTTTGGCTGCGATATATTTCAATTCAGGAGGAAACATTTTCACCGGGAACAAAAACAGCATGTTAATACGTGGAGATTCTGAAGGCTGCTTCAAAATGATCAGATTACATTTTAAATATTTGTTCAGTTCTCTTCCAAACCCCAGCAGCTGTCTGTTGTCATTTTTGAGTGTCCACTAAAATAAAAATAAAGCGTCCTAACATCTCACCTGTTTGTTTTTATTAAGGCATACATGTACACTATTTTTATTAATAGAGATTTCACTACTGAGGTTAAACATGATATATAAGTCACTTAGATCACTTCTAAATGTTAATGTTTGGTTTATTTCAGTGTTTTATTTGTTCCTGAGTAAATTGGTTTGGCTGTGATTAAAGTTAAGCTTCATAACATATTACTCACAGTTAAATTAAGAGGGGGCGGCAGTAAAGACTCCGGACCTGTGACATCATCAAGTACGCTGTACAAATCCCGAGTCTGTGCGTGCCGGACTCGCGTGCTTGAGAATTGAGAAAGGGCCATGGGAGTGTTTTTGGTCTTCTCGCGTTATTTTTTAGTCACCGCGAGAGTTGGAGAGAGTACTGAGACGAGCTGCTGTTTTGGCGGAACAGGAGCAGAGCAGGAATAATGGAGGAGGAAAGCCGGGACACGGAGAACAGCAACGGAGAGGAGTCCTCCTCAGCTCGCGCTGAGCTACAGGTGAGAGGTTATCACAGCTGAAAGAGGACGTGAAGGGGCACGAGGGACTTCCTGTTCAGGCTTTAACGTTGACAGAAGAAAGGAGAAAAATCGGGACACAGCCGCGCAGTTTAAGAAAACGATGTGCGCGTCTGCATCAGAATTTACGGTCCAAGCTGTAGACTCCGCCAGGAATGCATGGGGCGTTTAGGTGCACCTCGTTAACTCAGCAATCGAAGCCGTGGTGGTTATTTAAACGGCTTTAAAAGTGGTATTATTATTATTATCAGGTAACAATTTGAGTTTTTTAATGTTTTAATGCGGAATTGAATGGATAATATTGGAATTCTAGATTCAAACGTGTTCATGGCCATAAAACATAATAAAAACAGGGGAAAGGCTGATGAAGAAACTGCATCTGCTCTATAACTACAGGTTAGTGCATCTGTACGGAGAAAGAGTCAGATTATTCTTATAGCTCTCTTGCACTACAACTATTTCACACTTAAATTTTGTCTTCATTTATTTATTTATACTATTTGTATTTTGTCTGTTCTATTTATAAATATTAACCTGGCATCTGTGTGTGGATAGCAAAGAAAGAATTTCAATACACAGAGAAATACTTTTCTTTGTACATATGACGATAAACGCTTGAATCCTGAATCACTAAAGACAGTTTTTAATGGCACCAACAGCTATGCGCTTAATATGCAAGATGATCGTCTCTGCAGTTGTTATCACGCTCTGCAGGCGTTTGCAGTCCATAGCAGTGATGCTGCTGAACCATGCAGTGATGCAGCTGGTCAGTGTGCTCTCCACAATGCAGTCTCTAAGAGCATCCACAGAATTTTGTTGTGTCAAAAAACTGGCAGCGAGGACTGAGTTTATGATCTCTGAGCTAAACTCGCAAAGCTCTTAATAATGTTGTGAGAACACATGGTTCAACACAAAAATGCTGGAGATGCAGCTTAAAAATTGCACAAAATAGTGTGGAATGAAGTAATGGAAACGACAAAGCTAATGATAATTATTCTTTTTAAATTGAATAAAGTAATTCTGTTGATTCCATAATGTATTAATTGTGTTTCAGATTGCTTTAGTTTCAGGCCTGCTTCTGTGTAGTCAAAGAATGTGAGCAGCTTGCATAGAAAGGGGAAAGGGGAGTAGACCAAGGTGAGCGAGATAAGATGGGGAGACAGTGGTGTCACCATAGAGATGGAGAGAGAGAGAAAAGCACTAGGAGTTGTGTCACAGAGGGCAGCTTCCACGACCCAATTATAGAAGAGTGCATCCCTTTGTTTAGCCAGACCTCGCCCATAGAGAGCTCTTAGCTGCTTGGTCTCCAGATATGTGTTCACTGAATGCTGTCAAAGGAAGTTCTTGTCTCTGTTTGATCTCTACCATCAAAACAATCTGTGAAGTCGGCGAACTTCAACAATAGTTTATTAGAAAACAGCTTAGAGAAAGTGGAGAAGCTCAGACAAAACTAAACAAATAAATAACAAATATAATATTAGAGCGCTGCGGGGGGTGATGTCCACACATAATGTACTCGCACTAGTTTCTCCCTGCAGAGGAAACACAAGACGGTCAGACACACACACACATCACTCCACTAGTGCACAAACACAAAAAGTAGATTAGATTGGAACAGGATGTTCTGAGCACAACATCCCTGTTTGTCAGATGGATACTCAGTAGGTGAGGCCATAAACAAATGTCCCGTAGTGCTACTCTGTTGTAATCTTACAGTATTTATTAACTTTAAATACTCCAGTGTGAATTACTTTGTGGTCGGCTGTTCCAAAGTTTGTGAGTGGAGGATCTCTGAGTTTGGACTCGAGAGAAAGTCAGAAACAAAAACATTGTTTCAGCCTGGGAGCCAAACCGGAGTGAGCTGCTTTTGTGTTCAGTTTTACGTAGAGCTGGGTGATATAAGATTTTTTCATATCACGATATGTTTTTTTTCATTTCAGGCGATAACAATATATATCA